CCATTAAAATCTTTCCTAATATTATGAGATTGGAGGCCCTTCGTAAACTAAAACCCTTATTGGTATTTGGTGCTAACAGTATTTTTTGAGAAATAGGGTATCCCCGGACCATGTCAAGACCATATGATTTTTTTATTTTAATAGGAATCCGCCATCCAAGAACCATCCCCTCATTAGTAATTAAAGAAGTGATGAATGTATTTAAATTTAAACCATAAGAAACGCTTGTTCTAAAATATTCGCTTGATTCTCAGATTTTACTAGAGAAAACTGGATTAGCTACATTAATCAGGCCTGATGGCTTACAGGATGTATACTTCATGACTTAAAAAAATGTGATAATGAAAATGCATGATCGTATTTATATTTCTATCTCGTAAGAAGGAGACACCTAAGATTGCTGAGATGCTTATAGAATGCATCTAAACAATCATTATCAAGTCCTCATTTGTTAAAAGGGTCTTATGAAGGAAGCATGTAAAGGACATTCAGTGTGGAGGTACCCATACATCAATTTTTTTGTATCAGAGATTAATTTAATATTTGCAACTGGAATCTTTCAGTACTAGTAGCTCAATAAGTGCTATATATATAGGAAGTATTATATCAATAAGAGGTAGTATCAATAGTTAACTAAAGGATAGCATCCTGCTGAACCTATTTCTTAAAAAAATAATTAAAAAAAAAGAAAGCTGCTCTTTTCATGGCTATTTATTAAGTTAAGCAGCCACCCCTACTATTAATTTATATTACAAAATGTGCTGGTTCATAAATGACAAGACCATTGCTATGAAAAAGATGAGCAAGAATTCAAATTTCAAAAATAATGTATTATTTAAGAAAAATAATATTGTTAAATTTTAAATATGAATATAATAAATCAAATATCTGTGTAAAAATTTGAATGAAGCATCATCTATTTTTATATCTTTAATGATTGTTAAATAATTAAAATAATAAATGATTAAGTAATTGATATAATTTTTCCCTTGAAAAAACCTGAAGTAAATCTTAGTTGATCTTAAGATTTCAGTTGATTTTAAAATTTATGTTGTACGTATTATCTGGCAATTTTACTTATTTTTCAAATTGAAAAAATTCTAATTTAATAAATGCTATCATGGCAAATCATGTGTATTTCCTTAAATAAATATTAAAATATAATATATTTGTAATAGGTTTACAGCTATTCATCCAGCAATGCATCAAAAAAATATTTTTTAGAACTATTTTACATTAGTTTTGGATAAATTACTCAAGTAGCTTTATTATACAAGTTTATCAACGTGGCAACTAGATTATAAGAATATACGATAAGTTTATATCAATTTTTAAATTATACTGTATTTATAATAATAAAGGAATTATTATTAATTATTAGAAACGGCATCATTAATTTTATTAAGCAATTAACAAGAAATTATTCGCTGAAGCGTGCTCAATTTTATAAACAAAATCTCCATAACATATCAACTCGTGGTTTGGTCTCTCATATACCGCGAAAACGTTTTTAGGTTTTATTATTTTATTTGTGATTCATATTAAATTTTAAAGTTCAAAAATTTAGTAAATTTTCATCTAATTATTCTGTTCTTATCTGAAAATATAAAACATGAGAAAAAGGCCTTCTATGAGATTCTAAAATATAGATGAATCTTTTTATATCGTCCTATCACATTGATTTTGATGATTAATTATATTATTTCATGAAATTTCTAAAAAAGGCGGATTTCTTTGGAGTACCATTTGTATAAAATATCGATCACCAATAAACAAAATTTCAAAGTGTAACTGGAGGAATATTAACAATTGCAATCTTTGTATTAAGTTTATCCTATACATTTTGGGTTGCTTACCTCTGGAAAACAAATTAAATGAACCCAAAAATATCTCATGAGCATTATGTGTCAGACTATTCTCTGCTCGACTTGAGTGAAGATGTTATAAGACTATAATATTGGAAAGATTATGATAATAAAATTGATCCATTTGCAAATAATATTTTATTGCCATTAGTGGTTTACGCTAAAAACAATACATTGACTGAGGCGAAAAATAATAGAAAATCATATCAATATATCTTCTGGAGACTTTTATGTACCAAATTTGAAATTTGGCTTCTCCTATTATAATGGTTAAATATAACAC